AAGTCTCTTCATTATTTAAATATTATGAAAGAACTTTCCTTAATCTTGAGTTCGATTGGATCGAAACACATGCCCGCACTGCAAAAATAATGAAATCGTCAACCAGTTCCAGGATTGTGCTGGTGGATGTTAAGGCAACAAGAACCTACGATGGGTTAGATATTTGGCACATGGAAGTCGCGGGCCCTCCTTATAATGCGACCGAGAAGCATACTTTAGGCAACTTGAAGAAGACTCTCCAAACGGATATTTTGAATTTAATCACAATATTACGGAACTATCTCGATTGCGAAGTAAAACTTGCAACAAAAATTAAGGTGTTTAGTACCCAATTAATAAGTAAGTGCATGGTATATGGTTTATGTTATGAGATTGTATTTTCTAATACTCTACTCCCATCACTTCAGACAACCGACTTACTCTTTATGCTCTTGGCATGCTTCCTGATGGACGCTTTCTCGCAACTGAGCTCGCAACAGCCACCATACCTTTCAGTTTTAACGCCCGGAGTCAATATAAAGCTGTTCTCAGGATGATGGCCATCTTCCATGTATGTATTTAGATTAGGTACCTGATCATACTTTTATTTTCTGGTGATTCATACTGTGGTATCTTTTCTGTAGAATGAAATAATAAAGCAGGAGGCATTGATGGAAAAAATTAATCGATATATAATTAGAACTAAAGAAACGAAGGTCCGCGATGTGTTAAGAATACCTGAATTAGAATAAATGTAATTTTTTATCAGTCAGTTTCTTGCTAAGTGATAAATAATAATTGCTCTTCATTCAATAAGCTACTTTGATGATTAGAAAATATTTGGTCTGCTATTTTTTTTTTCCCCTTTTCTTTTTTTACCCACATTGTCCATGCCGGTCCTCAGATGGTGGATAATCCCTGTAAGTGTGAAGGGGAGATGCCATGCTTGTCCTCAGACAGTGACCTTCTCAACACAATCCTGTTTACTGGTTTAACCCTCAGGTGATCAGTTGGCAGAAGTGCAAGTAGAAAGACCTTACTTAACCCTCAGGTGGTGAACTTTCTACTTGTAAAGGTAGGCCACCAGGTTTTGTGTTGGTCCTCAGACGGCAAACTGGTGGAAACTGGTAATAGTTGGTATTATCTGATCCAACTATACCCGGATTTGGCTTCTTAATTTACTTTTTTTGTATTACTATTTTTGCTTATTACTTATTAAGTTCAACTATATTGTACTCTCAAGATTTGTGATACTACTACTAAAGGAAACCAAAGACCAAACAAAAGGATTTTCTCGGCTTGGTTTCACAAATTTTTATCGGAGTGATATTTTTGTCAGTTGTCTGGATCGTGAGTAGAAAGAGCCAAACGAGCAGTTTTTAAACCAGGTGTTAGCAAAATATAGTGGACAAATTCCTTGTGAGCATAGAATTTTTTTGAGAAAATCTCTTTATTACATTAAAACTAAATACATATTCTATACTTTTAAAATTTGCCCAAAATTTAGGTCTTTAAACCGAGCGAACTATATACAATATGCAGTATACTTATAAATCATCAATTATCTAAAACATATTAAATGGAATATGAACATATTTATTTATTGTAATTAAATTTATATAATAATAATAATGATTTTTTTTTAATTATTCTAGTTTATATTATTGAGATCATTACTATAACATTGTTAAATTTTTTCTTTTCCAAAAATTATTATTAAATTCTTTCTTTGTATATTATGTATTAATTATCATTAATAATTGT